CTTTTGTTTACTTCCGTTGACACAAAATGCGTGCGCATGCGCATTTAGATATTAAGGTGCGCTCGCATTTTCAGGAAAGATTATTCAGGAAAGAAAAACTGATTATTATTATAATAGATTAGTACTGATATAATTATAAGAGTTTGAAGAAGGATCTCTTATTTGTTACATGAGTACAGTGATGCAAGAAGTGCAGTCTTATGATTCCAAAATTCAAAAGTTGTGTCATCTTGAACCGTAAAATATATAACCATCAAAAATCATGCTTATGAAACTGTGTGATCTGTGATAGAAATCAGAGCTTGTAAATTCTGAAAAATACAGTGCGTTGACACTCTCACCCCTCCTTTCCTATGGCTCATCGGTAAGTCTGCGGGTTTATAACGCTAAAAAAACTGGTTTCAAGACTCGCGGTAAGCACAGCTCAAATGGCCCATTTTGTAGCTTTGTGCTTAATAACACATAAACTGAAACTCCTATTCTTCGTAAGTCTTTTCTTTCAAAGTAGTTGCCTCAACTGGCACAGCGGCATGTCTGCTGACTTACAACGCTAGAAACCGGATTTCGATACCTGTGGTGGACAGTGCAAAGATAGCCCATTGTATAGCTTTTTATTCCATATGACTGATTTAATAGTGTACAAAAAGAATTCCATTAAACGTTCGGAAAGCTAATGTAGTGAACGAAATAATAGAATTCTTTTTCTACATTATTAAATCAGCCATATGGAATAAAAAGTATTATTATGTAAAATAAGATTTGACTAGTATTTTGCAACTACAAAACCAAATTGGAGATACAGTCTAAATGTAATCAACAATCCTATTTAAATTCCTATTGTGCATCAGGATAAGAGAAGTTTTAGTTTTATTCTCCGTTTCTATCGTTGACCCACACAATTCTATTAAAACCTAATTCTTTTTTACGTATTAATTTTGTTTTCAAAATGACAATCCCTTTTATTGGGCTAACTCCAGTGAACAGTAAGAAAAGAGGATAACACTTTAGTCTCTGTTTGTTTTTGAATTTCGCGCAAAGCTACACAAGGGCTATCTGCGCTAGTCGTCCATAATTTAGCAGTATACGACTAGAGGGAAGGCAGCTAGTCATCACCACTCACCGCCAACTCTTGGGTAATTTTTTTGACCAACGCATAGTGGGATTTATCGTCACATTATAACGCCCCCACGGCTGAAAGGGCGAGCATGTTTGGTGTGGCGTGGATTCGAACCCGCGACCCTCAGATTGCGAGTCGATCGCCTTAACCACCTGGCCATGCCGGACTATAGGCGCTGATTGTTGGTTGCTAGTCTACAGCAACTAAACTATTTACCTATATTGGATAACAGAAAACCTCTGATTCTTGTTGTTAGTCTACTACAACTGAATTGATTACCTGGATTGGATAACAAACAACCTGTTGTTTGTGATTGTTAATATAATGCTACTCATTTGTTTATATAGTTCGTATAATATAGAACTACTTTCTTTCTTTGTTTTAGTTCAGAACTACACAGTATGATATCTGTACTCTGTAGACCACGAGTAATCAAACCCCTTCGTAAACTTGCCATTGGTCCACTGCGGGACTATACAACGTGCCATAAATATTTTAAGTAAAAAGACATATCTACATTTCGCTTATATAACTTTTAACGCACAGTATAATGGTATGTGTTGCTGTCATCCTATAAAAGGTGAGCTTGGCATGGTTTGGTAATAAAGGCGTTCGACTCACAATCTGCGGGTCACGGGATCGAATCCCCATTACCGAACATGCTCGTCTTTTCAGCCGTGGAGGCGTTATAATAATACCGTTAATACCATTATTCGCTGGTGAAACAAGTAGCCCAAAAGTTGGAGATGGGTGGTGTTGATTGACTTCCTTCATTCAAGTCTATGATTACTCTCGAGTAGCTTTGTGCGAAATTCAAACCTCGCAAATTGTTTCGGAAATTCAATAAACAAATACATTTATAAAAGAGGTAAATGTTTGTCCTTAAAGTGGACGAGTTTTCTGAACGTTTTTGGTCGCAAATACTTACCGTTGTAACTATAAAATAATATCATATGAAATATGTTTCTTATGACTTACAAGAAATAAGATTTTCCACATCTTATTGCCAAAGTATCATTATGATCTATTCTCTCTGTTCTCAAACTTTGTACAATTATGATTGTTATTCGGGCAAATAATAGTGAGATCAGTGTTGTATGATAAACGTACAAGTTTTTTAACTATATTTTGCTTTGAAAAGCCGTTTTGTTTATTTTATATATTTCGTTCATACATTTAGTACTTGCACAGTTGTATTTCTCAATCTGAACTTCGCGTGTGCGATACGTGAGCTTAGCAACCAGGTCAGAGGCCCCGAAGTTTAGGCATATTCATCCTATATTTAAAAACTGCTGATGAAAGGTTGGAGAACCATTTAGCAACACACATCGCCTACGCAGCTACTATGAACCGAATAGTGTGATTGTCATTTTTTATTATTATTATAAGCCTACAGCACAAAGAATGTTCAGCGGTATATTGTATAATTCAACTTTGGACCTTCCAATACACATCTCGGCATACTATCAAACTAGTTCACACCTGACCTCTTCATACATCTAGTATATTTTTTAAAAAACTGGATCACGTGTAGTTTGCACAGCTGTTAATCCTTCATAAATATTAAGCACTCGTCATTCTATCGACTTTATTTTATTTAGTGATAAATCTTATTTTAGGCTATTTGAAGAAAACGAGGACTTGATAACCTTGTTCAAGAAGTTCCAGTATCTTCAAACACAGGAGTCGAGGATGGAGAGTTTGGAATTGGCTCAACATGCTTCCATCGTCATGACAACTCTTGATGAAGGAATTCGCTCGCTGGACAAAGTGGATTATCTGATTGACTACCTACATTCAGTGGGGAAGTTCCATACAAAAATTGCAGGATTTAGAAAAGAAAATTTCTGGGTATTTATTGTTTTGTAAATTTGAAGACGAGTGCTTATAGACGTTAAGCTTGAATTATTGCTGTTTTTTCTCTTGCATTTTGAATAAAAAGCCAATGTTCTGAGTTCAAACAAAACAAATATCTTTTCTTGAGTGAATAATGTTTTATGTTTCAAATTCTAAGATTCGTGAAAATAACTTCGTTTTAAAAATTAACAAAAGTCAGCATGTAAAAATGTGTTTAAATTTTTTTGTGTTTTGCTAATAGGTATATCTTTTCTAAATAGTAACTGTTTGGACCAAATATAAGTTTCTTTCTCCGAAAAAAAAAAGAGTTAGATAATAAGTGTGCTTTCTTAAATTTAATTAGCACATTGTCTAGTACACTTATTGATAAAACAACTTTCGTATAACGAAAAAATATAAAATGAAAAGAAATCCGTGATGCAAAATGAATACTTTGCTGGCCTATAGCATAACGTTTGTAATGGGGTTCTAATTTGTGAGATCAAAAGGCAACACATATTGAAAGCATGCTAATGCTACGAGGTTCTAGAGGAATGCCTCCCCTCAGAAAATTTAGGTGCTATGAGATTAAATCTGGAAACAATTTTGCATGAAATATAGCTTAAACAATTGCACGGCTGTTCACATAAAATCCACAAATATCCAATGAAAAGTATATAAAAAAACATCATTCTGTTGTAACACAGCATGTTGAGCTAGACTTAAATTAGCATAAATATGTATGTTTGATTATAGTACAGTACTGTACTATGTAGATGCAGAGTAGTTATTAATTGTTAAATTATATTACTGATTTAAACAACTCTGTACTACAATAGTATATTAGCTATTTCAATCATACAAGTACATGTATGCACTACTGAAATAACATGTTGGCATGCTCCGTTCTTCTGTGGTGCTTTTCCATAAATAAGTTACATACAGTTTAAATGTTGATAGCAGTGTCATAATGATTATTCAACCGGCAGAGAGCAGATGCCGAACGTTCACATGAACATGAACTTAGTGGCAGTGTGGCAAAGAGTTTCAGTAACATAAAGATATTTGTACACTGAAGTACGCTTTCAAGCAGTCAGCTAGTATCTGGGGCCTGTCCTGCAGAGGTATAGAAAACCATCTTGTCTTCCATCGATGAAGTTCTTCATCAATTGTTATGCATTAGCGATTTTTATATTGTTGCGTCATGTTACAAGAACTTTCTGAAATATTCTTGTTTTTTTAATTGTGTATTATTGCTTCAAAATAGCTAGTATTGCGTGGAATGTTCTAGACTTCTGTTGGGGTATAAATACACATAGAAAGATTATAATTTAGATCTAGATTGCGTAAATGTGAGTTTAACGGTAAAGAGCGAATAATGGCGATTTAAAAAAATAAAATTAACACAGACTGTATTGCAATAACAGAGCAGAGAAGAAGCCATTGCATGCGGCTGTTTCAAGCCAAAACATGCTAATGCTTCATCAAAATAATGTAGATTATATAGACCAACGGTAAAAATCATAAGCAGTTGCAGTTGCGTTATAACTATATAAGCATAATTTTTGTACATCACAAAAATATGGGTTTTTCCCGATCCCCCCCCCCCCCTGCGTACGTGCGTGCTTTGTTAGTTATTTACTTATTTTCTGCTTCCATACTTGTCAACAAGGTTTTAAAAAGTTTATTATATAAATTAACCGTAACAAAAATATATACATTCTTTTCATCTTTTTCTATCTAGATACTTTGATCACGTATATTAGATCGGTAATATGAGTACTCGTGCCTAATATTTAAACACACGCATCAATTTATTTTATTCACACACAGTAAACACATTTAATTATTTTCATAAAGTTAAGAGATTAAAAATACACTTCACACTTCCATAGGGACACTCCGTACATAAATGGACGAGCGCAAGGTTGAGGAAGATATCGCTCACTTCAGGTACTCATTGGTCATTAGAGACGTAATTGCCAAATGCTCAAGAATTGGAGTCTGATAAATTTCTTAGTTGTACAGTTACTTCACTAATCCTGTACAAAACTTTTTCTAATCATCTTTATTGTACAGTTTCTTCACTGATCCTGCTTCCTGGCTTTAAGTAGCCTGTACAAAACCATTTTCTAATCATCTTTATGTACCACTTTCAGTTTCTAACGCTTTTGAATGTTTTCTTTTTTTCTTTTAATTTCTAAAATACAATGTTAATTTAGTATCATACTGCGTAGTATCTAAGAAACAAGATGCATCTTACGCAGATAAAAACACTGAAATACACGAATATTAACCGATAAGATTCACAGCTTGCACTTTATAGGATGACATGAAATGTACATTGCTAAAATTACACATTCCAAGCCAGTTCACTGTTGAGTCAGCGGTCAGCTACAGGGCTTATAATGTTAAAATTGGGGGTTCGATTCCTACAGTGGACGAAGCCCAGATAACTTAATGCACAGCTTTGCGTTAAACAAAAATCTATTTATCAAGAAAGATATATCAGTTCAATAAGAAAAAAATTTGGATTTTATTTGTGTTAATTTAAGTTTTTTCCCGTTTTTAAAACTACGGTAGGCTGTTTCGGATCACAGCCAGAAACATATAATATAAAACATTCATAGTTATATAATTGTTTCTGTAATATAAATTAATATATAATCAAGCTAGGTTAATTTTGTAACTTTCTATATTATTGTTTTTCGTGAAAATTTCCATCAGGATTATTGTATTTGGAGTCTCGCGCTTCTCGGCGTCGGTATTTAGGTCTTTGTAGACCTGGGAGGGTCAGGTTCACCTGGACCTCTTCCTCCCCCTGCAGTTGTTAGTTTACAGCTGTAGAATATTCTTATAATTATAACACCAGGATCAAAGGTTATCCTATTGCATGTACTCTGACCCCTTTCAAGGCCATGTATGTTAATAAAGAAAATATTCTATACAAGGAACACACTTTCTCTTTGTTCGTTATTGCGTAAAAGTCACAGACATCGCGAACTCTTCCAGTTGCGTTTCACATATTTTTCATTAATTCAATTATTGCGAGAGCGTTGTACGTAAAATAACCTTTTCAATGCCCTACGAGTTAAATAAATTAAGGATGGATATAGTCTTAGCTAAGCCCCCCAGTGGCACAGCGGTATGTCTTCGGCCTTACAACGCTAGAATCCGGGTTTCGATACCCGTGGTGGGTAGAGCACAGATAGCCTCTTGTGTAGCTTTGTGCTTGATTACAAACAAACAGTCTTAGTTAAAGGTGGCTTTAATTTATATTTTCTTTTTTAAAATAAAAATTAATTGGTGAGAGGTGCTTAGGGCTAATTTCATCATGTATGCAAAAACGGTCTAATTCACAAAATAGATCATTATTATGCCAATTTTTGAAAAGTAATTTAGAGAACTATGCACGAGTCTTTTAGGCAGTGTTTGTAAGTTCCATATTTGTGTAAAAAAGCCTGGGGATGTGGATCTTGGTACTCGGTAGGCTGCTACAAGTACTGTATTCTGTATTGTTCGTAGCTTTCTTACGTATATTTGTTTAGTGTTAATCCATACTGGGCATGCGTATTCTATTACTGGGCAGATGCAAGATTGTATTTTTTGAGTATATTATCGGCTGATGTCCCATGATTTTTTTACTGTTAGACTCATTACATAGTTCGTACGTTGGCAAACACTTGCTTTTATGTTCTTTATATGTTTAACACATATTAACTTCCGATAGGGATCAGGTCAGGGAATTTAACTGATGTTGTCGTTTGGAGGAGTGTACCATTCATGTATAATTCAGGGGGATGTTTTTTTGAGTTTCGTAAAAACCACTAGTTGATCTTTAGGAATATATACTTTGATGCGGTAGTTTTTAACAGTATTCTACTATTCTATTCAGTTGTGGTTGTAAAATAGTGGCCGCTATTGCTGAGATCGGTAAACTCTTCCAAATGCAACATCGTCTGCAAATTGCGATGTATATCCATAATTTGGGTCGTCTAGAGGCATATTATGGACATACTTAATAAATAAAATATGCTAATAACCCCCTCCTTGAGGGACACCTAACTCACGAATGAAATACTCCTAGTAGGCCCCTCCACATTTTCTATCTTCCAGAAAGTTGGATAGCCAGCGAATAATACCGCGCTGTAGTTCTAATTCTGACATTATGAACCCGAGACCATTGTGCTTCCAAGAAACTGAGACATATCCAGAACTTAATGACAAGCTAAAAATGATCGTTAGGTGGTCAAACAATCTCTGATTACCTTTTTTGAGGAGTATGGCTTGAATGTCATCTTCGCCTGGAGCTTTATTTTTTGTAGCATTAATAGATTGTATCATTTCTGTTTTTGTTGTGTGTTTTGTTACTTGGCGTGCTATGTGGTCGTTTTCGTTGTCTTCCATAACTTTGTTGGGAAGGAAATTTCATATATATCCAAGTTTTTTGCAATGTGGTCGTTAATTTGTTTATAGAAGCGTGTGTTCATATCTGCATCTATGTGTGTTTTAAACATTTTTTGTAGGTGTTGTTTAAATGCTTCCGCTTTATCCTTATTTGTATGTACTAGTGTGTTGTTTATGACAAGCGCAGGGTATGTTCGCGTTGTTTTTCTGCTGTATGTCAACCGTTTTAGATGTGATCAGAATTGTTTGGGATCCGTTGTTTCATTTAGTTTAGAGCAGTATTGGTCCCATTCTTCTTGTTTTAGTTGTTGTATCTCTGTTCTTATTTTGTTTCCGAGTATGTTGATTCCAGTTTTAGTTGTAGGATCTCCGTTTTTCCATGTATTCATTGCAAAGTTTTCGTCGTTCTTTTATCATGTTAATTAACTGTGTGTGTTTGTTAACTGATTATGTTTAGGTATTGATTTATGTGCAGCTATATGTAGACACTTAGTGATTGTTTGACAATACACGTCTAATTGAGATGCACTCGCGGCACTGTTGGTAGCATACAAAGGTAAGAGTTCGTCCAAATTTACTTTGTTTTCATCCCAATTTGCTTTTTCTTAGTTTAATTTTTCTATTTCAACCTGTTGGTTTCTATAGGGATTGAGACTAAAGGCACACCAGATCGGCAGGTGATTACTATCTATATCACATCCTACATTGAAGGAGATACATTTGTGGCTCGTATATTAGTGCTTAAACATAAGTCTGATATATCACTGGAGTTATATCCGAACGATTTATGCGTCGAGGAATTATCATTTTAGATAAATATACCTAGATTGTTTAGGAAGCGTAGTAACAATCTTCCATTCTGGTTCGTTTCTCTACACCCGAAAATGCGGTACTTACTATTAAAGATCCCCCTATGAGTTATACAGTTTGTATTATGTTCATTTATATTGTCAAGACATTCTAAGTCAATAAGTTTACTCGGTGAGCAGTATATACCTGCTACCGTTATATTTTTTATTTTCTTTAGATATATATCTATGGCTATACATTCATTCGTGGTATATTGACTTAAATTTAATATTGACAAACTGTGTTTGTAAAGTATGGCTATTCTGCTACTTGTATCTTCATTATTTATTCTATCCTTTCCAATACATGAATGTTACAAATGTCTGGAAGTAGTTTCGAGATTGTATGGACTTGTTTATTTTGGCTATGAAATCGGTAAAGGCGTTTTTACAAGTGTTGACTATAGTATTTTGTTTGTCTCCGATACTCATTACTGCTTTTTTTTGGCTTGTTTCTCTACGGTTTGGTTTGTTTCGAATTTGGCGCAGAGTTACTCGACAAAGCTAGTTCTTCCTAATTTAGCAGTGATAGATTAAAGGGAAGGCAACTAGTCAACACCAACCACCACCAACTCTTTTACCAATGAATAGTGGGATTGACCGTCACAATATGACGCCCCATGGCTGAAAGGGCGAGCATGTTCGGTAACGGGCATTCAAACCCGCGACACCCGCAGATTGCAAGTCGAGCGCCCTTTATCAGCAGACCAGGCGACTGTGAAAGAAAGGTTGCTTATACATTTTTATATGTTACATAAAATTTATTATCAAATTTCAGCTTATGAAGTTAAGATATTCATAATATTAATAAAATTAGACCTCAACTATTCATCACCTGGTCGGTACCCATGCACTCAAATCTATTTAATATATACCCATTTAAAAATAGCAAAATACAGAGGGGTCAATCGAACATTTACTGCCCTGTGAAAGAACCATACTTGTAGCTGCTTCGTAGGGTTTAGGGAAAGGAAGGGAAGGGGTTTTAGTGTTCAAGTTTATATAGATATTGGGCATCTCCACGTTGTTACTTTAAACTGTAAGTTTTACTAAGTGGTTTACTACGGCTAGCAGAGTTTTGTGGAATACTTATAACCTAGATATAAACATTTAATAGCATTTGTTACAGCTCTGACAGGTTTATAAGTAGAATTATTACATGTTATAGTTAAATTTGATGACGTGGAACCCACTTTTTTAGAAAATAAACGTTTGGAAACGGCTTGACTGATTAATGGAGAAAACTTTACTATAAATGCACGACGTTTCGGCAAGATTATGTCATCCTCAGTTCTCTTCATTACCCAGTCAAGCCGTCTCCAAACATCTATTGAGTTATAGTTAGTTCATAGATCAGAAGTCCACAACCCGATGTTTCTACACAGTAAAGTGCTACTTGACAAGTTAAGATTATGGTTTAATTCCCAGGTCTCTGTATAAGCAAGTTTTAATTTTGTTTTCAGAGAATCGAGAAACCTTTCCTTGCAGCCGTGAAGGAAACTCTAGGTGATCGGTACACCGAAAACATGGAAAATATTTACAAAATTACCATCAGATTTATCCTGGAGACTCTCAGCAAAGGTTTTGATCTTGCAGACGAAGAAAAGAAGGAAAATGAAGTACTAACCAACAACATCTGATAAACAACTCAAAAACAGAGTGGATTCGATCACCCCTGTAAATAGTTTTATCTCATTTTCAAACATCTGTATATTATCGGTTGGAAGGTGAAACAAGGTTTACCACTTTATTGAAAGACAGTAAAGTATGACTTATCTTTACTCTAGTGGGGGATTTCTTACAGCGGATATATGAATATTTGCTTTATACGAAAAAAAAAAGGTTCCAATGATTTGTGGCCCAAACGATTAAGTTTGAATCAAATACTGATTTTTATTTCTCTTTATTCTAAGACCCGCGAAGACGACAGTCGAATCCTAAGCTATTTAAAGAGAATTGAGTTCTACTACTAAAAAAAAAAGTCATATATTTTGCCGCCTAAGTGCCATGATTATAATGAATTGTGACAAAGCCATTCTTCATTTTCCCGAGAGGTAAGTCAGTCGAAAAGGTGCAATAAAGAATATTTACTATGTAATACAACATACAAAAGGTGTAGGTAGAACAAAGTGAGCCCTAACAAGTTTGTGTCCAGAATTGCATCATAGCCTTTTCACGCACAATGTTTTTTCATCAGGTCAGACAAGGAGATGAGGTTCATGAAGAATGAACTGATATAGTTGTCAGGCTTATATTCTTTTTTAGCCGCTCTTTGTATCGTGAATATTCTTTTTTTTTTAATTCTGAATTGCTTACAAACTATTATTTTAAAGTATCTGACGCTACAGTTCATTATCCTTATTATGATTGGAAGGAGAAATGACTCTCCTATGGGGGGGGGGGAACCGTATCACTGAAGTCGAAGTACAATGTATTCTTCGAATAACACGTGTAAGGATAAATGCTGCCTGGGAAATTCCGGGTGAGATAAACTCTCTCATTTGAGAGGTTTACTGAAACAAGAAATTGAAAAGAAAATCAATACCATATTATTCTAATATATGAACAGAAATATTATTTTCGTAGATTCTACAATCAATATAATATATATATATATATATATATATATATATTAATTTCCATATTTTTTACAGATGCAATTGTGGTATTACCGATATATTTTCATGAAGTTAATTCAAGAGGTTGAACAACAACAAAAAGAGCAAACGTTAAGCTAGAAAATTATTATGACGAAAGGAAGTTTTACGAAACGTAAATTATTAAATCCATACGAAATTGGTTAAGTTTGAAAACATATACTTCTACATTATATACACTAGTTTTCTTAAAATGAAAATACTGTTGTTAATTGAAAATAGCCATAGCATATGAGAACGTATATAATAAACTATATATTTATAAATACTGGAATATTTGCCTGTTTTATTTTACTTTACTTTATTACTTTGTTCTGCTGGTTTCGTGACTTCAATGGTTACTCTTCAAGATACAATTTTACTGAGAATCAATAACAAAAACATATAAATAACGTTTTTCAACTACACATAATTAATAAAAATTAATTATATATACTTTCCAAATGTACAAACATATAATACACTCCATTTATCCTATAATTTTATACTATTACTTACTTTTTATTTTCTGTAAGTCTTAGTAAGTAGGAGTATGAAATTGTAGGATAAATAAATTATACTTCTGTAATAATAAGAGAAAGTATAATTATAATAAGATTTTAATTTACGAAGGAAAGTATATTGACTAATTTTTATTTATTTTTGACCATTTTGATGTACTTAATTTATATATGGAGTGTATTATATGTTTATACACTTGGAAAGTATATGTATATATATAATTTAGATTATTTATGTTTAGTTGAAAAACGGTATTTATGTGTTTTTTGTTATAGATTTTCAGCAAAATCATATCCTGAAGAATAACCATTGAGGTCACGAATCCGGTAGAAGAAAGTAATAAAGGAAAGATAAAATACAATAATCTGATATTCAAGTGTTTTGTTATTGATATCCACAAAAAAATCTTATTGATGTTCTGGTTATATATATACTTTTTAGCCTTTGCACTGTTGTGATCGAAAAGGGGGCACCCATTTTATTATTAATGTGTGTTAAACTTTTCGATGACCACAGAAAAGATTAAATTATTCGTAATCAAAACAGCATCAAATTGTTAGTAAACACAAGTAGTCTCCCGTTATCCAAGTATGTTAATTAAGTTTGTTAGTAAACACAAGAAGTAGTCTCCCGTTATCCCAGATCCCTGTAAGTGTTCAGATTGTTGCTAAACATAGAAGTAGTCTCACGTTATCCCAGGTCCTTTTTAGTGTTCAGATTGTTACTAAACATAGAAGTAGTCTCCAGTTATCCCAGATCCCTGTAAGTGTTCAGATTGTTGCTAAACATAGAAGTAGTCTCCCGTTATCCCAGGTCCTTTTTAGTGTTCAGATTGTTACTAAACATAGAAGTAGTCTCCAGTTATCTCAGATCCCTGTAAGTGTTCAGATTGTTGCTAAACATAGAAGTAGTCTCCCGTTATCCCAGATCCCTATAAGTGTTCAGATTGTTGCTAAACATAGAAGTAGTCTCCAGTTATCCCAGATCCCTATAAGTGTTCAGATTGTTGCTAAACATAGAAGTAGTCTCCAGTTATCCCAGAT